GAGGGAGGGAGAATTAAATAAGAAACATTTGCTTTAACATGTTTAACTCTGTAATATATATTTCTGATTTAACACTTATGCACTGTTGGGGTTGTAGAGAGAGAGAGAGAGAGAGAACCAAACAGAATAATCATGTTACTGACATCTAACTCCAAATATTAGTATATAAGAGCAAACCCCACAAACTGAATGTTCTCTCTTCTTTCCTCAATTGTTGTCAATCCTGTAACACTTTCTATGAAGCCTGTATTTATAATACATTATAAGGGTTTTCTTAAGGCATTATAATTAATGCATAAAGCATTATAAAAAAGCTTAATAATATGTTCTATCATCTCATAAATAATCATAACATTTAGAATACATTATAATACTTACGCATTTGTGGTTATAACTTTTAAGAGTATGATTACGTATAACACACAATGAATACCATAATAAATCCACTTAATTTATAATGGATTATCTTGACATTGTTTATTTAAGATCTGGACAGTATCTTACTACATCTTGTGAGTGGTTAGGAGTGGTTGAGTGTTGTTTTGAGTGTTTCCTCTGAGGTTAATATTAATTTTGCTGTGCGCTAGTTTAAGATCAGTTGTAATGAAAAAAATGCAACGTGTGTTTTTTTATTAGATTACATTTTATTTTGATGGTCCCCTTTAGTCTATTGACTATAAGCTACTTTGCAACTACATGTCAACTAACTCTCATTAGAGTATTAGTAGGCTTAGTTAAGGTTAGGGTTGGTAGAATAAGTTGATGTACTTGCAAAGTTGCTTTCGTTTGCGCTTGACCCACTTACGCACCGCTTGTCTCCTGCCTCTCTCTCTCTCGATGCAGGCCTCGCTGAACCCCGTCCCTCCTGCCAAAAACCCCCACCGCCCGACTCAGGCCGGGGAGCCCTCCGGCCTGCAGCCCCCCCCCCCCCCCCCCCCCCCGACGGGAGATATCGTACCCGCCGTACCCCTCATCAACGGAAAACTATCGGGCTCGCCCAATCACTGTTGGATTCCTCGATTACCCCCATCTCTAGCATCGCCTCTAATTCAGTCTGAACTACTCTTTTTTTGTGTTCAGGCAGCCGATACGGCCGGCTGCGCACCACCACGCTGGGCTCGGTCTCAATGGGGTGCTGAATGAGGTCCGTGCGGTCAGGCAGGGGTGAGAACACATCCGCAAACTCGGCGTGCACTCTGGCTACATCAGTGAGTTGCGAGGGCGAGAGGTGATCTCCTCCCGGGGCCAGAGCAAGAGATTGACTTTTGGTGTTCACTTCTGGCCCGAGATCTTCCTCTCCGCTCACCACCAGCATCACTGATTCTGCCTCGCTCCATTTTTTAAGGAGGTTGAGATGGTACACCTGATGTGATAACCGGCTTTGTCTGCCCTGCGCCTGCAACAAATTCTCCATGGAGAGCCGCCCCAAAGTGTGGAGTTTTGGCCCGAAATTCAAAATGAAATTCAGTATGTGCTGGACCTGAGAACATACTGAATTTCATTTTTGCTGTCCGAAGGTCCGTCCTCCCAAGTTTCTCGTAGGACGTCCAACACCCCGCGGGGCTGACGTCCATAGAGAAGCTCGAAGGGGGAAAACCCCGTGGAGGCTTGGGGGACCTCGCGCACGGCAAACAAGAGGGGTTCCAGCCATTTGTCCCAATTTTTGGCGTCTTCGTGAACGAACTTCCGAATCATGGTTTTTAATGTGCGATTAAATCGTTCGACCAGACCGTCCGTTTGTGGGTGATAGACGCTGGTGCGAATCGATTTAATGCCCAAGAGTCCGTAAAGTTCGCGGAGAGTCCGTGACATAAACGCCGTGCCCTGATCGGTGAGAATCTCTTTCGGGATTCCCACCCGGGAGATAAGATGAAACAGGGCCTCCGCCACACTTTTCGCGGAAATGCTGCGGAGGGCCACTGCCTCGGGGTATCGCGTTGCATAATCCACTAGGACTAATGCAAAGCGATGCCCCCGTGCCGATCGCTCTAATGGCCCGATGAGGTCCATACCAATTCGCTCGAAGGGGACCTGCACAAGAGGGAGAGGGCACAATGGTGCTTTTAGGGTGGCCGGTGGGTTCACCAGCTGACATTTCCGACAAGACGCGCACCACCTGCGCACGTTCTCGTGAATTCTCGGCCAGAAAAATCGGGTCATTAGCCGATTCAGTGTCGCGGCTTGCCCCAAATGTCCGGCCATCGGATTACAGTAAGCCGCCTGGAAAAGCATTTCCCGGCGGCTTTTTGGTACTAACAATTGGGTTGTATCCTGCTTTGACTGAGTGTCTTGGGTCACTCGATACAACCGGTCTTTTAAAATAGCAAAATACGGATAGGAGAGTGGTCGAGCGGGTTGGAGAAGCTGTCCGTCGATGGAGCGGACCTGCTCGAACGCATTTTTGAGCGACTCATCCTGGGACTGCTCCAGGGGAAAATCATCGCCCCTCGCGAGGGTACCCCTCTCCACCGGGCTCCGTTCCCCTGACTCAGTCCCCATTGGTCCCAGCTCAACTTCTCCCACCTGCGCGACCGCCCCCGTCTGCCGCGCTCTTTCTTCCCAAGAGACACCCGCACAGAGATGCCCCAATAATGCTTTAAACCCTGGCCAATTTGTCCCCAAAATTAGCGGATGCCTGAGGTGCGGGCTAACCGCCACCTCTACTCTATGCTTTTGTCCCCGAAATTGAATAGCCACCGACATTAAGAGGTAGTTCACCACGTCCCCGTGCACACACCGAACCTTAACCGTCCGGGACCCGGACCAGCGTCCCCACCTCCATCCTTGGACACCGATCAATAAAATGACCTGGGTCCCCGCAACGCCAGCAGACCGGCCCAGGCCTCCCCGCCACCCTAGCGGCAGGAAGTGGGTCAAGGAATTGGTGTGGAGAGAGCGGCGGAACGGGAGCTGCGGCCGGGCTGCCGCCAGCTGAACCGGACCCTCTGGGCAGCGCCCTCGGGGTGGCTGAGGGCTCCGTCCCTGGACCACCCCTCCAGCGGGGTGGGGCCCGGGG